AGCCGTCGGCTGGAAACCAGCCCCGCGCTCGGTGTGGGGAGCCTCACGCGTGACCGCAGAGGTAGATACACCTCTCTGAAAGGAAACCGCCGCTGCCAAAAAAAGGGGATTATTTTTACCAGGCTGCACTGGGTCCGAGGGATAACCTGGAGCACAAGCGAAACCTGGGGTCGCAAGCAGCACAATCCACTTAATTTAATGAGGAAAGAAATAGTAATTTTTTAGTGCCGCTACGTTTCTTTGCTAAAAAGCCATAAGGAGCTCGATTTCATTTTATTTCCCATCAAACAACCTTTAGTTTATGATCTTAAGGGCATCCAAATATTCATCTTGAAATTTCAATACAGCAACTATTTAAAAAATAGCTTAAAAATAATAAAAAATTTTAAAACTCAGTAAGAGCTACATTTTTGGAAAGAAATTGCATGGAGACAAATTTCCTTAACTAATGTGTTTTACATGAGGTCTAATCAAAGTTTTTTTAGTCAATTTAATTAATGTTATCATTAGTAAGATTATGATCTTCCTTATTTGTAATACAACAAATTCTCCCTAGCTAAACTCCTAATTAAAAAACAGAAGGGTGTACAAATAATTCCTGTAAAATCCTATGAAGCTTAACTTTCTGGGAAAAATGTAGAATATATTTTAAATAATATTTGAAGTCAGTCAATAATTATAACAAAAACATTTATATATGATTTCTGAAAGTGTAAAACATTTCTGTAAAAAGATTTGCTTTTGATAAAGATATCTGTAGCAGTAAGCTATACTTTTTATCATTAAAACACTACTGAACAATTTACCGAGAATATACATGTAATTGATTTAGAGCACTCAGCTGATTTTTGTCACACATTATGTATCCAAATAACTGTATAATAGACGTAATGCCATGCAGGAATGAAGCAAATATTTTAAACGGAATTGTTGTTATTGACAAGTTACTGAGAGAGTGCAAAATTGGAAGACATTAAAATTTATGACCATGAAATCCTTTTTACAGTACCACTTGATATACCGTGCTTTAAATCAATACCTGTCAAGTCTTTTAGGTAACTGTATGATGGTGTCATTTTAGTCTTCTACAAAAGACTGCAAAATGAGAGGAAACCTATAGCGGTTCGTATTTATATCTGGCTTCTCAGCATGTAGCACAGGACCTTCTATAATGACTAAGTCAGCTGTTAAAGCTTACGGCAAGGTTTACTTAATTTTTTACATACACATTCCTAAAACTGATGACCATTTATATAGGCAACACACTGACTTTAAGTCCACAGGTTCTGGTATTGTAAAACATCTTGCAGGGTGTGTATGTGTGCGGGTATATATATACCCCCCATAAGAAAGATATATAGCTCTATAAATAAATAAATAAATAAATAAATAAATTCATATAGAAGATCTATTAATTTGGTTAAATTACCTTTGAAAACATTTGACTTTATGCAAACACACTCACCGAAGGAAAAACAGGCTGCTTATAAGATAAGTGGAAAAGAAAACTTGGCTACAATAAGCAACGAAGGTCACAATAGTAACTAAATAGCTGGTAAATTCTTCGTTATATTTTTTGGCTCGTTTAATCTTGAGTGAACATATTTGATCACACATTAAGGCCAATTCTACCGGTCTAAATCTGAATACGGGAAAATCTAAGGACATATAACTTTGCTGAATATTCTGGATTTGCACTAGTTCTGAGGGTGGTGAATTTGGCCCTATGCATGCAAATACGTGTGTGTTCTCCAGCGAAGACCGATTGGGAAGCCTCAGCTCATTTGAGTCCTGTTGATTTCAATGACTTTGATTCTTTGTGAAAAAGTAGCAGGAAGGAATCTTACGTATTTAAAAATAACAAGAATTGCGTGTTTTGAACTTGTTATTAAGGCAACATTTCAGTATTTTACTCTCATGTTATGAGAGGACTGTCAGTGCAGATACAATCTGCAGGCTTCTGCTTTATACAAGGTCATGGATTAAGCTAAGACCCATTTGTAATTTTCTACGATGAATAATAAATTGGAAATGTTAAAATGTTTCATTTATATAGTTTTGGAACGAAAAGGTTTTGATTTCGGTTTTGAAATGACATTTTATTTTAATCAAAACAACCAAAAACGATTCTAAAAACATTAAATAAACTTAAAGCAAAAGAAACAAAAGAAAAAGTTAAACATTTTGGATCAGCCTCAAATACTTGTTTCTTTTTTACTAAAAATATGAAAAAAGCTGTTTTGTTTTGAGTTGAACAGATATTTTTAATCCTTTATTTTTTTAAATTATTCCCCTTTTGGCCACCAAATCAGAAAAGTCAGAATTGACCCGTCTGTAATTACGGTTGGACTGGTTGCTCAGCTGTTTGTTGGATTTTGGAAACGTGTTGGTGATAGTTGCAGGAAGGCAAAGAACAGGAGCTGTGAGTTCACCTTAACGAAGGCTGTACCTTTCACAGATCTTTACTCCTCGTACGGAAAGGCAAGTCACCTCTGCGGCCGAGTTAGAAATTCACTTTGGGCCCTGAACTGTCACGCGTTTATTTGTCCCTTTTATTTGTCTCCTGCCTGGACCCTGTCCTGATGTCAGACAACTTCCACGTAAAGTCAGTGGAGTCCAAACCACCATCAGCGCTTTGTGCTGAGCATTTCTACATTTCCTAAGCCGGCAGCCCGAGCGAGGTATTTAAAGACGCGGTGAGCATTCGGAACGAGTGCTCTCAAAGGTGCTAAGCGTCCCCAAGTCATCGTCTGTCAACAAGAGGTTCAGATGCTCAAGTCTTTTCAAAAATCAAGCCCTTTCCTTAAGCTAGGCAATATTGGGCGAGATGGGGTAGCCGGCAGCAGGTGCTACCATTCAGGAGCTCTGTTATTTTCCCAACTTCAATCGCAGACGAATGAAGGGTGGAAGCCCACATGGAAGCGGATAACGCAGCTGTGAGGAGCTAACCGTTTTGCTTCCCAAACAAGATTTGGTTTTGCAAATGTCGAAGCTCAGCTGACAGTAAGGCGGAGTTTGCGCTGAAGAGCATCGATCCCTACCCTTTCACTGGCACGTCGAGATCACGTTCTTTTAAGAATGTTTGGTTTATTAGATTAGTTCGCTTGATGCTTTAAGATATCACACACTGCTACCTGTAAAAATACAGTGTGCTAGATGGCATCACCAGGAACCATGCCTTTGGTAACAAAAACCCAAGAGGTATACTGTTATCGTATGTACCCCCTGAACGACGGTCGGAGACATATAACGTAAAACGTTCACCCATTATGCTAGAATTCTCTAATGCATGCGTCAAATGGCTGATTTCTATCGCAAAACCCCAACCTTTGGTGGCTGCACTGTCCCACCGGGGTGTCCGAGCGGTCTGGTACACCAGCCACGGGGTAACAGGACTCTGGGGCAAGGAGCCTGCTGCTCTTGCTGCCCGCCAACACCCGTAGGTGTCACCAGCACTTACTTGGGAGGGGAGCCAGGAGACGAAAAAGAAATCCAAGAAAATAATAAGAAAACAACTTTCCCCCAGCAATTAGCATACGAGATTTGCTTCTCAACTCCTTCACCTAAAAAGTGTTTTTTAACAACTGCTGTTTCAAAAAAAAGAGGAGAAAGGGATCCAAATGTTTTAAAAGGCAGTTGTAGAGTGGCCATCGCAGAGCAGAGTATCGCCTCTCCCCTGCGCTGCGATGGGAGGAATCACCGCACAGCCTCTGCCCCAACTTCTCTCCAAAAAACAGTCACACACTTCATGAGACGTGGTTTTAAAAAGCAGCCTGTGACTTTTCAGGCAAAACTTCCAGCCGCAATTTTTAAGGTGCTAATAAACGTAGAAGAGCTTGGTTATTACTGAGTTTTTCAGTGAGTGACCCGAAATAAAACCCAAGTCATTTGTGTAAGTGACGGTAAATGTAGCGATATGTTTAAACTGAAGAAGCTATGCATTATTTTGAGACATCGGCAGAAAGCCATACCGGTGAATCCCATTGAGGCACCTTCTCTTGATTGCCTGCGGAGCCCATCTTCGTCTCGGAAATCGATGTAAACAAGGTCGACCGCTTGAAGGCCAAATGCCTTTGCTGTGACTATTATTTTTTGCCTGGCATATAGAATATCGTGAGTTTCCTTACTGCTTGTTGCACCTATGAAAATAAGGAAAACAAAGAAAAGCTGACAGGAGTGTTTTAAACCTTTCTACTTTAAATATTTCCTATGTAAAAAATTTAAAGTTCGAGATTTCATTTAACCAATTTAGAAAACAAAACAGGGATGCGAGGCCATATTGTCACAATAATACTCCTGTGAGGAAGAAAAAAAAAGCTGCTTTAGCAAAAAAAAACCCCACCCCAAACCTCTCTTTTAAACACTAGCTTATAACGTTCAGATTTTCATTCAGTTCAAATCAGAAGTTGTAAGCCTGAAGTCAGCGGAAGTTTTGGCTGGTAAGGATGGTGGAGTTGGGACTAACTATTTATTAGATTTTATTATTTACTGTATGTACAGTGAGAAGCAAGTGAAGCTGTATACAAATCGATATATTGGGTACAACTAAATGGTTAAAAAATTCACACTGAGAATAGAATTGCACTTTCCCTGGTTGTGATTCCTGTCACAACTGATGTCCTAAGCTGAATATTTACACTTTTAGTATTTGGATGAAAAATGATGGTAGGTGACTTCTGAGAAGAAGCAGAAGCATTCACAAGACTTCATGGGCTCACAGTGCACCAGCTAAGCAACGTGCTCACGTGAAGACTGGTGTGTAAAAATAATAATACGTTCCCTTTCCTTAGGGTCATTATTTAGACACAGATTTGCAGTTTGCAAGGAATATTTTAGTAAAGCAGTACTAATTTTTACCTTAACATACTTATTTTTAATTTAAGTGTTGATAACTCTGAACTATTATCTTTAAACTAAATCAGATTAAGAAGAAGCTAAGCAGCCTCTCATAAAAGAAATTTTGAAATACTTTTTATTTGTGAGGAAGACTAATAATGCTTTTACATAAATACGTGGCTGTATTGACATGGGACGTATTTAAAGTAAATTTATGAAAGCAAAATGTCACAGGAGAGTATTTGTGCATGATGTCAAAAGCCTGACTGACAATTGTCTGTAAAACCATGATGAAGCAAGCAGACACGAGGATTTTAGGACTTTAAATGTATTTCTTAAAAGGATGCACATGGATATCGTATTTTTAAATAATTTCAGTGACTCAGCGGGTTTTGGGTTGTTTTTCAGTAATTTTTGGTACTGCATGGCAGGAAGCACAAGGAAGTGTCAGTGCCCTGTAACACGCAGGGACCACGTTTCAATTTGCCGGTGAGACATTCTGCACTGAAAAAAATTAAGGAGAACAGTGAAAATGTAAAATGCAGACTCAAGTGTTGTCACTACTTTAATCATTGCTGTCAGAAAAGCAATGGACATCAATCACACCCGGCTTCTCCAACGCAAATGCCATAGGTTAACGTTTGTAGTAAAGACGCCGGTAACAACCTATGCTGGCACGGAAATCCTCTCCTCCAAAGACGACTGCGTCCAGACGAAAGCCAACCTGGGATCCTGTCCCCAGCGCTTCCTCGCAGACAGCCTTCGGAGGAGAAGAGAGGATTAATTGCTGGGGAAATGCAGGAGGCAGAGAGAGGCTACAGCGGACGTCACAGCAGCGCAGCGTTACCCAAACCCTTCAGCTAAAACGTCTCGCACTAAGCAAAGCCGTTGCGGGTGCTCGACCACGCACACTGCTTTAAAGTGACTCGGCAGAAGGGAAAACATTATCTTTCCCCAAGCACCTGCATGCCCGGACTGTGTAAACACAGGGCAACGCCGCCGATTCCCCACCTTTTGATTGACACAGGGGTATTACCCTGATGGGTGCTCCAGATATCTGTGTAACAACACGAAACCAAACGTTTGTCAAATACTGCTTAAAAGCAAACAAAAAGTACCAAGTCTGGTGAGTTTGACATGTAATATATCTGCACGAGAAACAGAAGTAAAGATCAGAATCTCTTTTATTAAATAAATGATTTGAACGGTTTCAAATGGTTACGGATTCCTTATATCCGACAAGGATTCCTCACGGGATTGCCAGTTTAAAGTCTTCTGCTACCTAAAAAGTAACTAAGGAAGCTAAAAATGCAACAAGTGCTGCAGAAAAGTATTAAAATAAAAGCAAGCAAAACTTTGCTGCTGTAGCTATTCTGTAAAGAAGTGCATTTCCCAAACATTACTATTTTATATCGATGTTTGGCTAATATTGACATTTTTTAGGGCTAAGGTATGTGGAGAGAGACCGATGTAATTACAAGCTCTACTAGTGGGTGTCCTTCCGTGGCGGCGGGTGGGACAAGAAATGATTCTTAAATTATTCTTAACCCGAGTGCTTTAAACGGCAACTCTCCCGCCAACACCAGGGACCGCAATACGAGAAATCCCACTATAAAATACCATGGGTGAAGAAAACACTCAGCCGGTTTACAACAGGATTTAATTCCGTGTATGCACACCGGACAGGAGCGTCTCTGCTTACTGCTTTATCGTCTTCCCAGCTACGCTGGCGTGTGTCGTACGGTAAAGGGCCGTACCAAGCGAGCGGGCTGCCCGCGAAGCCCGCCGGTACTCCTGCGGGCCCTTCCGAGGCGTGCGTCCTCAGCTGGCCCAAATCCCTTCCCTCGGAGCTTGGGAGGGGAGCGCTGAATCCCGAGCGCGTGCACGAGGTCTCCCGTTTCATCGCCACGCTGCCTTGCCCTTCCGAAAAACCTGGACTTGGTATAAGGGCTAGGGAGTAACTGATGTTAAAACGCACGATAAAAAGGAGATTTGATCTAAAATTGCCCTAAAAAAGGAGCACGCTCTTCAGATATTTCCTATTTTCAAAGTTAATTATACTTCTAATCTTGGCATTAAACACCCCATCACACACAGAAAAAGAGGGTAACATGAAATTTGGTTGTAATATTATCGGTAGAAACCGTTATAAAGATGCCAGTTTAGCAATAGTGAAATGATGATTAATTCTTTTTTCTCATTAAACGTCACAGAAAAGTCGAGTTCGATAGCTACGAAATAGCCACGTGTATTGCAACGCTGTGGGTATTCCAAAGCTTTGGAGAAACAGGTTTCCACTCCAAGTGTGTTAAAAATGCTGGCCGTAACGCAGAGAGGTTTTGTTATTTGTCATGGACCCTCTGGAATTGTTCTGTCACTGAAATATTTTGAATTTATGACGGCCTTTACAATACCAACACGAGAGTCCAACATACGAATGTTTTAGGGGATTGAACAATGTGTTTAGTCTTTTTTAATCTCTCGTCCTTGCTGAAATTAGGGGGAGACTGGGGAGTATTCTGCTTATGCTAGTTTGCTGAGATGGCAAAATATGAACACTTCAAGACCTGCTTACCTTAAAATTGAGCAAGCCCACTGCAGTTTCCACAAAGGGGATAAAATTCATTGGTTCTACAAGTGTTCGGCCTTTTAGGTGATGTAGGAATTTGTCTGAAAACTAAAACTAGACAGTATGAGCTATCAGAAAGAAAAAAACAAAGAACATATATATATATATATAAAACAGGTTAAATTTTCACCTGGCTGTAACAACACCGCTCCCCACCCCAAAGCCTTAAAATAAAAATATTAAACCAGCTTTTAACAAGGCCTGCGATTCGAAACCGCAGCATTCCCATACATTTCTAAGTTTGGAGGCTGGTTTGCAAAAAAAGAAAAAGAAAAAAAAAATCTCCAGGCTTAGCACCTCTCACCCTGGCTTAGTGAAATGCAAATCCGCGGGCCCTGGAAAACAATGAAGTGCTGCTGTACCTGAGGTCCGGTTTTGTTTCAGGTCCAGCACTGCCATCACTGGAAGTGCTCCCCAGCCTTCTAAGTGGCATCCGTATTATTCATTACGGCACCATTACCCTTTTGTTCAATAGGCTTTTCTTCATAATTTTTTAGCTTACCTAGGAAGGCCTTAAAAAGGAAGTTTAATTCTTTGAAGACCAAAGCTTGCCAATTTTTTCCATGAGACCAGTTCACAGCTAGCTCTGAGCTGCCAGTGGGGTAGCCCAAATTCCAAAATCTATCATCTGGAAACATACAAAAGCTCTTGCACAGATTTTTCCCCTTTCAAAAGGGGAAAAAAAAAAAAGGGGGGGGGGAAACCCTTAGCCCTATATTGTAAATCTATTATGTCTGTCCAAATCAAGTAATTTGCACAGAGATAAACATATCGCAGGTATGGCAAAAATATGTTAGTAAATAAAGACAAAAATAACATATGCATATATTTTAAATTTAAGGAATATTCGACTATTAATGGATATCAAAGGAAAGGGAATTTTAATCATCTCTCCATTCAGTCTCAGTTGGGTAAATCATATCTAAGAGATTTGCATAAATATAAACCATCAAAGACTTTTCATCTTCAAAGGGGGTTTCAAGACCCTATAAGCTTTGTACTGTAATCATCGCAGGTCACAACCCTGCAGGAATAAGGCTGCTATGGCAACATAAAAAACTAATGCTTAAGGCTTAGCATAATATTCCGACTAATAGAAAGGAAACTCATTTTAAAAGCTGGCAGCCTATTTACCAGAAGCTGGATTAGAGGTGTTATTTCCCCTTTTAGCTTCCCCCCACCGCCCCTCCCCAAAAGAAGGAAAATCTAATCACCCAGATCTTGAAAAAAAAGCTTTCCAGCAATTTGCAGTAACTTTACAATTAGGCCAAAATAAATCACAGCTTTCTTCGATGAAGAATTCTGCCCTTCCCATCCCTGCTCTGCATCGTCACCATGGCCCTCTCAGTAACTTTTTTTTTTTTTTTTTGAGAAGAGAATTCCACCCAAAAATGTGCCAGGAGGAAAAAAAAAAAAAATCATCGATGCAATTCACATGTGCGAGTGTACAGTATGGCAGGTACAGAAAATGGGAAACTTCATACAGGCAAATGCAGAAAATGAGGTAATATAATGGCATCAGCATATATTCTTAAGACTCCTATCTGATTTTTATTTTTAAGTGAAAAAAAAGTAAAAAGCACGTCCGCGTTTATCTCTTAAGTGCAAGCTAAAGCAGCAGAGCTCTTCTTTTATTTTAAAATATTTTAAAAGTCACACTCCTGGGATTCTTGCTACCTTTTGTTTTGAAGGTAAGCAACCAAAAAAAAGCACGTTTAATTAAATATTGTCTCCCTTCCTCTCCCTTTCAAAAAATTTGCAATAAGCACCACTAGAAAAGGTAACGAGTGGAGAAGTTGCAATTAATTTTTTTTTTTTTTTTTTTTTTTTTCCC